GTGTGTGTGTGTGTGTGTGTGTGTGTGTGTGTGTGTGTGTACTACATATGTATATTTATTTTATACCTGTAGAGGCCAAAAGGGCCATCTGATCCCCTAGCCCTCGAGTCACAAGTCATAATGAGCCACCAGGTGCTAGGATCCAAGCTCAGACCTTCGAGGTCAGCAGCAAACATTCTGAACCACTAAGCCATCTCTCTAACCCCTAAATCTGTTTATTTCTACCATGGACCTGAGGCGATGGAAGGGCATGATAAGGAGGTTAAGTGACTTCCCTGAGGTGATGACTGCTCTTCTGTAATCCTGAGCTCACCCTCCCAGGGCAGTGGTGACTTCCTTACTCATTCATTAACTCCATACTTGAAGTTTTTTGAACAAAAATACAATAAAGGGGTAACTATAAAGAAATTGTGTAAAAATTATACTTGAATTCATTCAAGTTTCTGGCTTTTTTATTATTACTATTATTTCCAGCCTGGTCCCAGAGCACCTAAAGAGAAGCCCATCTAAAGGAAAAAGTTTCATGTTGGGAGAGCAGATTTCATTGAAGAACTTTATCTTTCTACTCTCATCCCCATGGCAACAAATATCCCCTGTGCAATATCCACCAAATGGCAAGAAGCTGATTTCTGGAAGGGCTGCTTCTGGTGGTGACGAAGCATTCTTGTCTAACACTCTGGTGGCCGTTGCTTGTCCAGTTGTGGTCTGTTCCCTGGCACATCTGTAGATTTGGGATCTTTTGAAGCTGGGTTGGTTTTTTTGTAATTTTTTTATTTAAATTAGAAACAAGCTTGTTTTACATGTCAATCCCAGTTTCCTTTCCCTCCCCTCCTCCCCTGCCCCCCACCAACCCCTATCCCATCCCCTCTCTACTCCCCAGGGAGGGTGAGGCCTTGCATGGAGGATCCTCAAAGTCTGTCATATCATTTGGAGCAGGGTCTAGACCCTCCCAAGTGTGTCTGGGCTGTAAGTGTAACCCTCTATGTAGAGTCCATTTGTACACTAGGGATAAATACTGACCCACTGCCAGAGGCCCCATAAACTGCCCAGGCCTCCTAACTGACACCCATGTTCAGTGGGTCTGGATCGGTCCTATGCTAGTTTCCTTGCAATCAGTCTGGGGTCCATGAGCTCCCCCTTGTTCAGGTCAGCTGTTTCTGTGGGTTTCTCCAGCCTGGTCTTGACCCCTTTGTTTATCATTCCTCCCTCTCTGCAACTGGATTCCAGAGCTCAGCTCAGTGTTTAGCTGTGGGTGTCTGCTTCTGCTTCCATCAGCTACTGGATGAAGACACTAGGATGGCATATAAGGTAGACAGCAGTCTCATTATAGGGAAAGGGCATTTAAGGAATAGGCCTCTCCATTAATGCTTAGATTATTAGTTGTGGTCAACCTTGTAGACCACCGAACACTTCCCTAGGCCAGATTTCTCTTTAAGCCTATAATGGTTCCACCTATTACGGTATCTCTTTTCTTGCTTCCTCTGTTCTTCCCCTGACTCATCTTCCTGCTCTCTCATGTCCTCCTCTCCCCTCTTCTTCTCCCCTTCTCATTCTCCTAGCTCCATCTCCCCTCCCACCATGTTCCCAATTAGCTCAGGAGATCTTGTCCCTTTCCCCTTCTCTGGGGACCGTGTATGTCTCTCTTAGGGTCCTCCTTGTTTCCTAGCTTCTCTGGCAGTGTGACTTGTAGGCTGCTACTCCTTTGCTCTATGTCTAAAGTCCACATATGAGTGAGTACATACCATGTTTGTCTTTTTTGTGACTGGGTTACCTCACTCAGGATGGTTTCTTCTAGTTCCATCCATTTGCCTGCAAATTTCAAGATTCCATTGTTTATTCCCACTGAGTAGTACTCCACTGTGTAAATGTACCCCATTTTCTCAATCCATTCTTCAGTTGAGGGGCATCTAGGTTGTTTCCAGGTTCTGGCTATTACAAATAATGCTGCTATGTACATGGTTGAAGGAAAAGAGCAACATAAAATGAAATTAGCATCAGGGTTATCGTTTGTGCTGCCATTAATACTGACAAATCTGCCCCTTCTAATTCTCACCTTTCAGAAGCAGATCCCATACATTTTAAGCAGCAGTTAACATATGTAATCCATCCAGCATTTACTCAGCCTTTAGTTTGTACAAGTCAATCACTGAAAAGGAATTCTTGACTTTTGATTTGCTTCTGGCCCTTATTTGAATGAGACAGAAACTTTATATTTGAAGGTTTCAGGCGTCATCTTATTTTCCTTTTTCATGTGACAACAATAAACAGATCTCAGCAATATGCATCAATAGCAGCAACAGCTTTTCCAGGTTCTGCAGTCATTTGAAAAAAATTGTAGATACATCCAGCACACTCCATTTAAAAACACAAAGAAACAAAAACAAACAAACAACAACAACAAAAAAGTAAAAAACAAAATCCCAGAAAACAGCACAGTTCTGTTACTCTTGTGGTACTTGGCACCATTTTTTTTTAATTAGCTTCTCAATTATCATCTGGGAGGAAACCATTCTGAGTAACATCATTAAAAACAGCTCTGATAAAGCACAGTCACTACTATGTATCATAAAGCAGGTCCACATATGAGTGAGTACATATAATGTTTGTCTTTTTGTGGTTGGGTTACCTCGCTCAGAATGGTTTCTTCGAGTTCCATCCATTTTCCTGCAAGAGAAGACAGTTTTTAAAGAAAATATTATTGTCACTTCCTTCCTTCCTTTTGATATGACAAAAAACATTAATTCACAGGATCACTGGGCACCTAGACTTCTAAACAGCAATTCAGACTACTGTCATGAAGAACCACCATCAATGTTGTGAACTGTCTAAGGTCAACACCTTAACAAGAGAACAAATATGTGCCATGTGAGTGCTGATTTGCTGAGATGATGTGTGTCTTATCAATGCTGATTGGCTGATAAATGATTTAATTGACTTATAGGGAAGTAATCTCAGACTTAATGAATCTAAGATTTTGGGCTTGAATTTGTCAAGTTTTGGGTCTCTTAATAATGAAAAAGAAGTCATAATTGACAGTTTAAATGGTTTTAGTCAAGAGCAGGAGTGACATACAGAAGAAGAAAGACAGCTGTCTCAGCAATTACCCATGAGGTTGGCTACCCCCTGATTTTCTTCTTTTGTCATTATGTCCACATGGATCATTGCATTGTTACTAGTGTATAAGGAGAGCAAAGTGGACAAGCATACCTTTGGGAGGGCCAATTTGTCAGACAGCAATGCAATGCAGATTATTTGTTAATTGTCTATAAATAGAGGTATGTCTTTCATTGGTTGAGGAACGACTACAACTGACTAAACATCAAAGTAGGCAAATCAATAGGCAGAGGACTTTGGCAACCTTTCACAGGCC